AAAAAAAAAAAAAAAAAAAAATGTTAGCTGCCAATACTCAGAGTGAAAAGCTTAGAAAAATAGAGAAGTATCTGTTTTCCCCCCAAAATGCTAACATTAGGTTCATTTACTATATTGAACAGTGCTGGTAAATGTGGCTCTAATAGGTCATTATCCACAGGCATATCACTTCTATTTTCTTTAAGTCACAGCATCTGCACAAGCCATAATGTAGTGTTCTTCCCAATTCTGTTGCAGGGGCCACATATGACACTGAACCACAGGCCACAGGTTGCTCAAGAAAAGGTGATCTTAGCACCGACCAAGAGATTGCTCTGATAAGTGACTTTTATTCATTTAAATAAAGTAAACCAAAGTGCTCCTTACAGTCAGATGTAATTATAAGCAGGCCAATCGGATTTCTACAAAAATAAATCTAGAAGCCATAGAGTGCGCTGCAAGAAACCAAGATTTGGGTCAGAGGGTCCTCGTTCAGGTCTTAGCACTCGTTTGCCAGTAGTGACTTCTGAGCCATCATCTCTCCGGGCCTCGGTCCCCTCACTTGCGGAGTGGGACAAAGCCCCCGCGACGTCGCTCTCTCTCTCTCTCTGAGTTACCCTCCATCTGAACAGTGGTCAACTACAAAGTGCCACCAAGGAGTTACTGTTGACATTGTTGTTTGATCCCTTAATAGCATATAAAAGGGAACTTTCAAAACATATTTTACTAAGTATCATAAAAACAAAAGGTTACCATCAGGTAGCATATTTTTCAGGCAGTTAATTCAGGTGCCAAGCCACAAAAATCTTACCCTCCTGGAAATAACTTCTAATGATCTGCTAAAACCATTTCCCCACGTTCACAGTTACATACTTAAAAGGTAACAAACTAAATAAATGTAACTGCTAGGTGCTGTGGAGGGAAAACAACTTTCAGTCATGGTCTATTCCTTCCATCATTTAATGAGGAAAAATATATATATTACACACACACACACACACACACACACAGCACCAGGATATCACCGTTCAGATGAGGGGCAGTCTTTCCTTTGAGGATTTTAATTAGGTCACGATAGATGGGTAGGACTCACACATGAGACTGACAAGTGACTACACTGCCAGTGTGTTTCCACTCATCAAAAGAATTTTGCTGACATTTTCTGTTTGGTAAGTTTTCTAGAAATACTTAAAAAATAAAATTAAGAAGTACTTGAAAATAAATTTAAGTTCTAATGAAGCATATTCTTGGTAATACTAAAAGCCCCATATTACTCTCTGCTAACAGGTCATATCTGTGAATAGTAAACTCAACTGAACTTCTTCGGCAAGAATGCTGGGTCTCGTTGATGGGCGTCTCTCGGGCCTTGTGGGAATTTCATTTACCTACTACACTGCTTCCCCTGCCTTCATCCCCTGCCCCATCCTTCGAGCCAGCAACTTGTGTCATCTTAAGAATCAAAAACGCCTCTTCACTTATGTTTCTAATAACTGCTCTAAAAATTCTTGAAAGCCCTGTATACCTTTGTTTTCTCTACTACCTCGCCTCTGACTCACTCCTCAACCCACTCCTCCCCTCACTCTAATCTCGATTTTGGCAAACACACCAGCACCCCACCCCAAAACTGGCTAATGTCCACTATGGCGCTAAACCCAATGAGCACGTTGCACCCCTCACTTCAGCTGTGATTTCAGCACACACATAACTGTCCACTCACGTGGGCATCTGGGAGACAGCCTTCTGAGTTGAGATTCATATTCTCTCTCTCTCTCTCTCCTTTTAACCACTCTCTCCTACCTTCCTTTGGATGTCCCTCTACTGCCCAACATTAAACACTGAGGCTCCTCTTGCATCTGCCCTAGTCACTATTCTCAGGTCACAAAAAACTCTCTCTAGAGAGTCTCTTCTGCCTCCATAGTGTCAGGCATCTCTTACACCACACTGACTTCCAGTTTTGTTCCCCTCTTCCAGAACCAGATATCAAAATACCTACTTGGTACCTCCATGTGGATGTCTCACATATATCTTAAAATTCAACTGATGACTTTATCACCCCAAACCTTTTTCCCCTGTCAATGATCCTCATCTGGGTAAAGGTCCCATTATACATCTAGTTACTTGGACCACTCTCAAGTCCCATATCTGATGAATCACTGAGTTTAGCCAACCCCACCTCCTAAAACATTCTCACATCTAGTCACTTAATCTTCACTGCCATCTTTCAAGTAAAGGTATCTCCCCCTTTCCCTATACTAATATGATATCCTCCTACAGGTCTTCACACATTTACAATGCCTCCTTCCTAGTGATTATCTACATGTCGCTGGGGTAATCGTTTTAAAAACCCGATTATGTCGTTTCCTTGGGTCGTTTCCTTCAAGAGCTTCCAACTTAATTTAAGTTAAACATCTTTACTCTTCAGTCTTTTAGAGTGGACAGTACCAGTGCCAGTGAGGATACAAAACAAATGTAACTCTCTTACATTGCTGGTAGAAACACAAAGGGATACAGCCATTCTGGAAAACAGTTTGGGAGAGTCTCATGAAGGGAAAATACATGTACCATACAACCCAGCAATCCCCCTCCTAGGTAATTACTGGAGAGAAATGAAAACCTATATTAACACAAAAACCTGTATGCACATGTTTACAGTGGCTTTATTTATAAACACCAAAAATTAGGAAAGTCTCAAGCATCCTTCAACTGACTAGACAGTCATACAGCTATGCAATGGAGTAATAATCGACAACAAAAAGGACACACTAACCCGGCTGGGGTGGCTCAGCAGTTGAGCGTCGACCTAAGATCCAGGAGATGGGGGTTCGATTCCCAGTCAGGGCACATGCCCGGGTTGCGGGCTCCATCCCCATTCGGGGGCGTGCAGGAGGCAGCCAATCAATGACTCTTTCATCATTGATCTATCTCTCTCCCTCTCCCTTCCTTTCTCTGAAATCAAAAAAGATTTTTTTTTAAAAAAAAAAGGAAACACTACTAATAGACACAATGACATGAATAAATCTCATATTCATTATGCTAAGTCATGGTCAGCAAATTATGGTTTTACACCCAAATTTGGCTGTGACCTGTTGTTGTTATTGTTTTCGGGGGGTGGTTAATATGTTTTTATTGATTTTAAAGAGAGAAGAAGGGAGAGGGAAAGAGAGAGAAACATCAATCGGTTGCTTCCCATACTCACCCCAACCAGGGACCAAACCCGAAACCTGGGCATGTGCCCTGACTGGAAATCAAAGCCATGACCTTTCCGTGCAGGGGACAACACTCAACCAACGGAGCCACACTGGCCAGAGCAACCACCACCTGTTTTACTAAGTCAACTTTTACTCGAACACGGCCACACGCAATCATTCACGTATACAACCCGTGACTGCAACAGCAGAACAAGTATTCACAGAGACTACATGGCCTGCAAGCCTAAAGCATTTACTTCCAGGCCCTTTACCGAAAAGTTTGCCAACCCCTGTGCCAAGCAAAGCAGCTAGACTCAGGGGCCTGCAGGTGGTGTGATTCTCTTTATATGGTGTTCTGTAAAAGCAAATGCAGGGGTCAGAAAACTGATCAGTGATCGCCGGGGCTGGGTGTTGGGGGCAGGGAAGCCTGACTACAAAAAGGGCGGAAGAACTTCTGAGGGTGACGGGAGTGTTCTATACCTTGACTGTGGTTGTGGCTACAAGTCAGCGGGTACTTGTCAGAGCTCCCAGAACTATAAACCTGGGTGAATTTTACTGCATGAAAATTACAGCCCAAATCACACATTAATAAACGTGACTTAAAAAAACAATAAGTAAATCTGTATACAGTCATTCTGTACCAGGCACTATTATAAAGATTTTACTTTTTCTACCCAATCCTCAAAATAACCCGATGAGCTAGACACTATTATGGTCTCCATTTTACAGAGGAAGTAACAGACAGAGAAGTTAAGCAATTGGCCCATGATTATACAGCTGGTATATGGTAGAGCTGGGAATTGAACCCAAACAGCCTGGCAACGGAGACTGAGTTTTACATTGCTGCACCATACTGACTCTACATATAATCTGAGAAAAAAAATAAAGAAACAGACTAAATAGTTATAATAAGATGAGTTATCACCAGTTGCCAAATGCAGAAAG